CACTGTACAAGTCAACCTTAAAAAAATATGTATTTAAAATAAATATCCACTTTAAACAAATTACTAAAATAACTACTACACTATGTAATCAAATCCAAATGTTCAAGTATAAATGGCATTGAATAAGTAAACAAATCAATGACAAGGAACTAATTGTATATTTCTCTTCATCATCAACAAATAAGATGCTTCATCCAGCAACAGGGTGTCTGTGACACGGTTTAAATGCTGCCAGAGGACGCTGCGGCTGCAGTATATAGTGACTCGTTGCATTCTCCCTCAACCAAAAGTCCTCACGTCATGCATTTGAGCTAAAATGCTAATGTTAACTTACCTTGCACTGGCTGTAGAGACGTGGGTGATGGTCACGCAGATGTGCCATTAGATTCGAAGTGTTGCTGCCTTTTGCAGACACTTGTTTCCTGCACGTTCTGCAAACGGGATAGCCGTCTTCTATTAACTGTCCCTCAGCGTTTTTCAGAAATCCAAAATATGCCCATACTTCCGATTTAGTCTTCTTTGAGGGCTGATGGATGTCCTGGGCGCTGCCGTCGCCTCCTTCGGCCATTATTTCAGCTTCAAAGTTTTGGTGCCGTTGCAAACTAAAAAGTGCGTGTGCGCGCCGCGGGAACGTCAGCTGAAGCGACGGTGGCTGGTAAGGGTCATCGCGCCGAAACCGCGGCCACGGTAAACCCACCGAGATAATTTAGTTTTTAAAAAACTGGACGGTTATTTTTATTGTCAACTTTTTTACCGGGGTTTACCGCTATATCGGTTACCGTGACAACCCTACAACCCACATAAATTAATCATTCATTTAAAGGGACAGTGTGTATTTTCCCTGGCAATAGGGGGCAGTACATACGCGCGCTCGGGACTGTTTCGCTGCTGCGTTCCATCTGTTAGAGCTGGAGGGGTGGAGCAGTATGCTACTCTAAGGGTGTCCAGGGGATTCCCCCCCCCCCCACAGTAGAAGATTGTGGACATTTTATATTCAAAAGCATCAGTCTGATGTTTGAGAATAAAAGTAGAGTTCCAGGCTGGTGAGGATGTATGATAACGAGGGATGGGTACCTTTGACATTTGAATCGATTCGGTACTAATCCCCGGTACCTAGGAATCGATACCGTTACTTAACGGCACCAATTTTAGATACTTTTGAGTGTTTAATATTTTAACTCTCTTTTATAATAAAACATATTTTTTTTCTCAATTTATGACCATCTTTGATAAATATCACGATAAATAACATACAACTGTTTGTATTTTAACATCGTCCTTGTAGTTTTATAAGCTGATAATTAAACTGAAGCAAACATCTTTACTGTGAACTAAATTTACTGTGCATCTTCATTCCTTTTGCCGTCCTTTTTCATTTGATTTTTCCTACTGGGAAGTTAGAATTTCCTAGGAGAACGCGAACGCACCATTAGCTGATAACAACGGTGGCAACAGAAGCTAACATATCAAGCTAACGTTATCTTTAACAGTTTATTTACCTACCGGAGCAGATTAAGATGAGGATGTCTCACTTAGATCGTTGTCGCTGGTTTCATCATCACCCAGTTACCCATCACATTTAGTGAAGTGGACCCAAGCGTTAGCGTGCGTTCTTTCTACCATGCTGCTCTGTTTACAACTGGCTCGCAGCGACCGACGACATAACGCTCTTACGCATGCGCAGCTGCCTAGGCAAGTTCTCATGTATATATAAATCTGGTTAATAAATAAATTAACATTAACTTTGGAAACTTTGCGCGGTTAGATGTTTGCAGCCAAACAGACGTCTCTCTAACGTCTTTGCTGCTGTACGATTCTGTTTTTAATTCATTAGTTCATCCAGTTTATTCGCGCTTTCCTGAGGGAACAAATAAAGGCTTATTTTTGGAGTTGGGGTGAATACTGAATTATTCTAGGTATGCACGCTGCCAGGCTCCATCTGCATCCGACTCCCATTTCTCCGTGTATCCCCACACGTCCCCTCTATCTTCAGAATATTAATGTGCTGCACTGTCAGAAGCCATTGTTGGGATTGGTACGGAAATCTCTTCGCTTGACTGGTTTCCTTTGTTTCACTGGGCTTATTCTAGCTCTACAAGTAATGCTAAATGTGACATAATAAGAGGAAAGTGCATCTATGTTGGGGGTAAAGATAGAGATGGAGGGGCAGGATGCAGAGGCACACAGGAGTGGCTTAAAAAAGGCAGCAACTGGAGCCTTCATGGACGTGCCGAGGAACTCTGAGGGAGATGGGTGAGGGTATGAGGGAGGTAGAGTGGGAAGGAAACGGGAAGGTGGAAGAGAGTGATGAAGAAAGTGAAGAAGACAAGTGAGAAATTTAAATGGTGGGGAGGTGAGGAAAAAAGGGAGTGAGAGAGGGGAAAAAGTGATAGAAGAGAGATGAGGGAGGGAGAGACTGCTGGAAGGGTGATATTTAATGTGATAAATGAGTTGTGACAGTCCGCCTCTAACCCCCTTCCAACCAGCACTGAAATAGAAAGCATTATGGGTAAAAGGGCATACTTGCCATTATGGATGTGTATAGAAAGAAAACGCTGGGGTGGAGCAGAAGGACGTTCGTAGGCAGCATTATGGATGGAGAGAGTGAAGGAAGAGAGTGGGGATGCATACATATCGCCTGCAAATGCAATTTGGGTAAAGGACGCACAACATCGTGGGGAGAGAACAGAAGGGGGGGGGGGGCAATGCAGCAGCGGGTTAACGATCTACTGTACGAGATTCTTGGAAATGAGAAGTGGAAGAAAATGGAAAGAAAGAAAGTTTAAACCCTCCCTAGCTGATTTACTCCCGTCTGAGTGTCGCTCCTTCAAGAGATGGCTAGTTACAACCCGTCGTCTTAGAGCTGAGCGGGGGGCTTTTTCTGACTCGTACGAGCTGGTCGGTGGGCCATCTGCTGTGGTTTTGGTCTGAAAGAAGGTCCAGGAGACAATGACAGCCACTGTAGTTTGGATCAGGGAGCAAGAGCTTGGGAGATGACTCATAGGGAGGAATGAAGAGGGGAGGGCCTCCAGTTTTTTAGGGAAGGATAAATCCGGACTGGAGAACAAATAGGGTGTGTGAACCGCTCTATGGCTGAAGCGCACCTCTTCTAGTCACCTCCAGCACCACCTCCTCAGCTCCTCTCTGACTCTGCTCAGGTTCCTTACATGTTCTCAGTGGTTATGAGGGCTCAAGCGTAACCAATCAGCTGCTGTGTTGGTGTTGGTGGTGGTGGTGGTGGTGGTGGTGGGGGGGGGGGGGCAAGTTTAATCAATCAAGCACTAAAACCAATAAATACTGTTATCATGTGTTTAGTGAGTGAAAATGTTGGTCAAGTCAAGAATGTTTAATTTTATGGTGGATTAATAAAACTTTAACAATTCAATACAAGATAAAAAACCTGAAGGTTGACTATTTCAGACAGGAGGACTAGCTCACTTCCTCTCCCCACATACAAAAAAAGTTTTATAAAGGATGGTGCCAAACCATTGGAATTAAACGATGAATTTAACAAAGTGTTGAATGGATGCTTTGCAGATTTTTCACATTTTTAAGTCGTTTTCTTGAGCCACTGCATGCTAAACGGACCCTTTACACAGTTAATGTTGACCCCCCAGCCCCTATTGCCCCTGTGGCCAGACTGGCGGCTGCTGCAGGCTGGTTTCTAACCCTAACCCTAGGCACTAATGAAGACGGGTGAGATGTTTCAGCTGTTAGATGAAGGTGTTAAAAAGATGAACGCACAAGGAGATGGGCTTTGGCCATAACTGCCAACTGTTTCAATTTGAACATTTGAACTTGAGGTTTTGAATTTATCACCTTTGGATTCAGGGTTTGAGCTCTGACCATGCAAACAGACTTTCTTGACAAAGAGATGCTGTCGGACTCAGCAGGACTGGCCGGAGTTGAGCTGTCACGTGGACGGCTACTCAAACGTGGAAGAACGAGCGCTGGGACTGGGCCTGCACGAGGAATATAGAATATATATGGAAATAGAGATGCAACAATACCACATTTTCCAAACCGATACAATACCGATACTTGGATCTGAATACTCGCCGATACCGGATACCGATACTTCTACCACACAAAAAAATGCAATGATTTGGAATACAGATTTTATTTTCTTCTCTGCTTTCAACAGGAAACGACTGTGAGGTAGATAAAAAATAAAATTTATGAATAGAAATCATCACAAAACTAAAATATTAGGTGAACAGAAATGACAAGTTACAGTGAAGCCATTTTCAAGCAACTGCATTGGTATCGCTTAACTTTTACTGATACGATACCAGTATCGGTATCTGCACCGATACGATACCAGTATCAGTATCGATGCGGATACCGATACGATACCAGTATCGTATCGGTATCCGCACTGATACCGATACCAGTATTGTATCAGTATCTGCACCGATACCGATACTGGTATCGGTGCTTCCCTAGTTAGAAACACCTGCACGTAACCCGAAGGGAAACGGGGACACTGATGTTACAGGTAATGTTGACTTACTCGTTGGCTGCAAGTAGCTTGAATGAGCTGGTCGGACGATGGGAAATAAAGTCTTAGGGGGAGGCCGGTTGGCTGGAGGAAGGTTTTGAGGTGGGAACCGTGACAGATATAAAGAAACAAACTCATGTTGCAAGAACCCCCTTAGCTGTAAAATTACTCTTCAGGGACAAACTGATTGAGTGTTTTTCTATGTCTTTCCGAAGAATCCGCGGATAGAATAAGTAATGAAATCTGTTGATGTTCCACGGATGCTGGTCCATCATTGTAAATGATAAAAAAGCACGTCGCTTGTTAAGAAAATCCCAGATGTGTTCGGTTGCAACCACAAGGAAAATTCCCGTGTTTTACAAACAACTTTTTCTGTTTCCAGGTCTGTTGTTCTGCCTGCTGTTTTTTAGTTGTTGGAATCACAGGGCTCCAGATGAAAGAAAGCATTCCTAAATGTTTTCCTTCTTTCTTTGTTTCCCAAATCCTTCCTTCCTGGCAGTTAGGACAGCGAGATTCTCTCAGGAGCCAGCAGACCAGCCGGTGGTGCGGGGCCAGAGGGTGATCCTGTCCTGTGTTGTCTTCAACTACTCTGGCATCGTTCAGTGGACCAAAGATGGGCTGGCTCTGGGCATCGGAGAGGACCTCCGGGGTGAGACGTCACAGACCATCCTCAGGCTGTTTTTACTGTGTTGAGCCCATCAGGAAGATGTTTTTGTTTGAAAGAAGGCTCTGATTCAGCTCGGTTGGAATAGCTGATGGGCATCTTCGTTCCTTCCGCTGTTGAAGTGAAAACTTTCAGACTAGCTGAAGCTTGTGAAAGTCACATCACAGTTAAAATAAAAAAACAAATGGTCTTTTCGCTGGCTTCGGCTGCAGGTCAGAGTTCAACAGAGTGGGAAGACACGTTCTTATCAAAACCTTATCAAATGAACATAAACCTGGAAAACTGTGATTTATGATAGTGCATCAACGTGTTTATCATCATTAACAGCCACAAAGATCCAGGTTGTTTATGTTTACACAGAAACTTCTTCCTGGGTCCAACAAACCCAGATCTGTCCAACAGACGACACAAAGGAGGAAAAACAACCAAGCCCATGAGAAAAACCTTAAGTTAGCATCTGGCATGTTTTACATTTAGCATAAATAAATAATAATAATAATAATGCATTGAACTTATATAGCGCTTTTCTAGACACCCAAAGACGCTTTCACACACTCTCACATTCACACACTGCCAGTGATGGTAAGCTACTTGTAGCCACAGCCGCCCTGGGGAGGTCTGACAGAGGCGAGGCTGCCATTTGGCGCCGTCGGCCCCTCTGACCACCACCAACACAGGCAAGTTGGGTGAAGTGTCTTGCCCAAGGACACAACAGCAGGATACCCCTGGCGGGAGCTGGAATCAAACCCATGACCCTCCGATCATGAGGCAACCCGCTCTACCTCCTGAGCTACTGCTGCCCCGAATGAGTTGATGTTGCACATGACTAATAATTCTGTCTAGAAATATAATAGAGAGTGAAAGCCCACAGACTCACAGACTTTTGTAAATAAATATTAGTTAATGCAACATTAGAGAAAGCTACCTCCCTGTTATATGTTCATTTAAAAAGACCTTTCAGCCTCTTTGAAGGGTGTTCCTGTTATTGTAGCTAGCTTCCTGAACAGCCTCAATTAGGAGAAATAGAATTGTGTCCCTTGAGACTGATGAGCTAACTGCTAGATTGAGTTCAGGTAACTAATTCACTGCCATCAATTGCGTAATTTAATGGGGCGGGCTTGGGAACGAGAGGAGCCAGTTGATGTGGCTCGGGCAGCTGATTAGGATGCCTCCCTGGTGAGGTTTTCCAGGCACGTCCAACCGGGAGGACACCTAAAGGAAGACCCAGGACACGCTGGATGGACTATGTCTCTCGGCTGGCCAGGGGGACACTTTGGGATTCCTTTGGGTGGAGAGAGGGAGGTCTGGGCCTCTCTGTATAGGCTACTGCCTACACAAGCCAACTCCAGATTAGGATGGATGGATGGATGGATGGGATGGATGGGATGGATGGATGGATGGATGGATGAGTAGATTGATGATGGATGGATGGATGGATGGATGGATGAGTAGATTGATGATGGATGGATGGATGGATGAGTAGATTGATGATGGATGGATGGATGAGTAGACTGATGATGGATGGATGGATGGATGGATGAGTAGATTGATGATGGATGGATGAGTAGATTGATGATGGATGGATGGATGGATGGATGGATGAGTAGATTGATGATGGATGGATGGATGGATGAGTAGATTGATGATGGATGGATGGATGGATGGATGGATGAGTAGACTGATGATGGATGGATGGATGGATGGATGGATGGATGGATGGATGAGTAGATTGATGATGGATGGATGGATGGATGGATGGATGGATGGATGAGTAGATTGATGATGGATGGATGGATGGATGGATGGATGAGTAGATTGATGATGGATGGATGGATGGATGGATGGATGGATGAGTAGATTGATGATGGATGGATGGATGGATGGATGCTAAACTAACTGTGTCAGAAATATTTATAACAAGACGTCACATCAGCAGCTATGAAATTAGGTTCAGAATAGCTCATCAGTCCGGTTCTCCAGATGTTTGGAGCTCATCTGTAAACTCAGTAGTATTGCTATCCCATGTTGGGGTAAGAGGAGCCCACTTTCAGGTCGATGCTAAGCTTGCCCTCCTTCTGCACACGTGTCTGGTGGGAATGTTCTGGGCTCCCTCGGGCAGCGTTTTTGGACTGTCAGCTTGGTTTTGGAACATCCCATCAACACCTCCGTCTGACCGGTCAGCACTGCTCACAGAGTGGACCGGCTCATATCTGACATTTATCGTTCGTTCATCAAATCAAACAGGAAGTCGGTTTGGAGCGCTTCGGGTTTTCTCACAAAGTTTTAGTCTAGTTTTTTTTTTCTTTTGATTTTGACAACATTTGAGTTTAGCAAGTCAGCCTTTTAAATAAATGCACTGATTCACCCAGGAGGCACTGGTTACTCAGTTACTGGTGTAAACATGTGCCAGATGCTCAACTAAAGGTTTCGGGGTGGGGGTGTCAGCATACAGCTTCAGAAACATTAAAAGGTTGGCCCTAAAGGACAGTTGTTAGCAGATATGGTCATGTTTATGGGAAGATGTTTTACCCAAGACATGAAAGAATCACACTACGGAGACCTGGTAAGTAAAAATAATATAATAATTTTTATTAAGAATGGTGAGTAAACAAATGGGCCATTCCCATCTGTACCGGGTCGGCCCGGGCCGGGTAGCCCCAGTCGGCCCCAGCCTGGCCCGGTTGATTCCACACATCCTTGCCTTAAGCCCATGTGGGCTGATTCTACCCACCAATCAGAGGCTTGCTCTAATGGAAGGTGTGAATTTGCTGTCAGCAGTGGGCGTGTTGGCCCTGGTCGGCCTGAAGCAGACCCCCTCGAGAAGAGGGCCGAGAATGAGCCTTGGTTGGCCCGGAAAAATACCAGGCCACCCAGATATGTAAACAACCTACGCTACCCGGCCCGGGACGACCCGGTACAGATGGGAATGGCCCATAAGGGTGCTGCTCCAAACGGGAACAGGGTGAACCGGAATCTGAAACGAGAAGCAGATAGATATTGGATAAACCCGGAACCAGAGAACCAAGAATATGATTTGTTTTTGGAGGTTGTTCTTACGGTTGATGACCAGGACTGGTGAGGATGGACTGGGTCTTGTGGACCAGGTGGGAATTTTCGAATGGCAGGAGTTCAAATCCAGGACAAGACTGGGAAGCAGGCTGTGAGGCAGGCAGGATGACAGGTGGATGGTGGAGAGCGGAGGCCAGGGGATCTTGAGCGACGTGACGTTGGTAGACAACTCCAGGCGACGGTAGGTTTGTTCTGAGGACAAGCAGGAAGTTTCAGGACTCAACAACAGGCAGGTCAAGACTGAGACTGGAACGGGCAGACAAAAGATTAAAGCTGGAGCAGGCAGACTAAGACTGTGGCTGGCTAGTAGTTACCCAAGGTGAGAGTATCAACCGGCACTGGAGTTGTGTCACACCGCTCCTTAAATACCCCTGGCCCTCTGATCAGGGAGCTCAGGCACAGCCGGCTCTCCGACACACCCACCTGTGAACGCAAACCTGGGACAACTGCAGCATATTGATTGTTATTAGGAATGATCAGGGCAGACCATGACAAATATATTCTGATTATTTAAAACATACAGTTCCTAGTTGAAGAAGGGTTCAGTCACTGATTCTCATTAGCAGGAAGCAGCGATGTTGAGTGGTGATTAAAACTCCTGATGGGGGTTAGGGGTGGGGTCAACTACCCTATACACATTAGTAATGGAGGTGTATGATGTAGCATGTATCCTATGACAATGGTGTGTTTCGGCCTCATTCTGCTATCTTTTGCAGACTAAAACACCAAAAGACAAATGTGAGAGGGGGAAGTGCGCACCATTCTGACTGACATGCTTGAAAAGTGGAATGTGACAAAAACATGTTTTAGTAACAACATTTTATCATTAGGAGCCAAAGTTGTAATTGAAAAACAAGCCTTATGAGCTGCACTTGGATCTATTCTCCCCTCTTCTCTCCTCAGTGACCCCCTTCTCTAAAATCACCTGTTCTCCTCCTCTTTTCAGCTGCCTTTACAGCTCTGATCCCTCGCTCATATTCTTCTTTTAACATGTCATCAGCTCCACTGCTTGACCCACCCTCAGCTCTTTCCCATGAGGCACATTTGGTGCAACAACATTTGTGTTCTGTCCCTGGGAACTTGAAGTCACGAAGAAAATTTCAGAAAAATCCTCTTTCACAGGCACAAATCAACAGCTACACCTATTCAAAATATTGAGTATGAGTAATGCATTCTTTGAGTCACACATCAAAAAAGTCACAGAAAGTACATTTAGTTTTAGATTTATTCACCGAAAACACATTTAGTGTTGTTCATTAACCCAGCTTTACCGGACTAGATATTTTTTCTGTTATTTTGGACTCGTAGCTGCTGTTGTGTAGCACAAATGCTTGTTAGCATGTTGCTAAAGCTAACGTTTGTGATCCTGTTGGTGACTCTGTTACCATACATAGCTCCACAACACGCTGCAGGAGATACGCTGTCTTGTTAACTTGTTAAGTTTCTGATGGTCCAATATGGGAAATTATGTTCATTATTCCTGTCTGTAAATGCTTTTAATGCTTTAGATGTGTTTTCAGTGAATAATAGGGATGTGTATTGGTGAAATTCTGGCGGTACAATACGTATTACGATACAGGGGAGACGATTCAATATATCACGATATATTGCGATACATTCAGTCAGACGATATTGGTGATTTTTTAGACTAAATTTATTATAGGAAAATTCAATAAACAGTCCAAACTGATACTTAACATGTTTAACCATAACAGAGGGATTTGCATTTCAATAGGGCTGTAGCGAAGCCCCGACGACATCAACGGCTCGATTCTAAAAATTTGTCGACGTCAGATCCGGTAGTCGACGCACCACGCCCACTTGTTGCATCCCCAGGAGTTTGTAAATAGAGGTGGAATCTGCCTGTTTTTCCTCTAGTTCGCCCTCTTCTCCGCCTTCACAAACATCTCCGCCAA